ATGCAATTATCATTATACCATTAAAGCAGATTTTTATTTTGAAATATCTGAATCAAATGTGACAGCTAAATTCTTTGTGTATAGCTTAAAGTTAGATGACCTCAACAAACACTTCTTTACCAAAACTGTCGCTGTTTGCTTTTACATTGATCCAACTAATCAAGTAATGATCTCAACATAAGCAGGACTACATCAAGAAAGTCGTTTAGGAGCCAGAAACAGATTCAGAGAGAAATGTGAACCTAAAAGAACCAAGGTAAGAATGTGATGAGATTTACAACATAATTATTTTCGTTGCTGTGAACATACACAACATGAATGTAGATAGTGTAACAGCAGACAAAATAACACCACAAATAACCTCTCCCTCCTCATTTCTTTCTTCCCCTTGCTGCTCCTCTCTGCTCGACTCAGAGTCAGGGGAATATTTGCTCGATCTATTGTGTTAGTGTTGGTGACCTTTGACCTCAGCTCTATTGGTTGCTTGTAGCATTGTTGATCTAGGAACTGAAGCTTCCTTTGTTTCTACAGTCATTTTAAAGTCACCTGAGAAAAGAAAGAGCTATGAGATGAGCCAAATGTAATGCCTGACAAAACTGTCTAAAATGCTAATATCTGAAGTGACTGTCTCTGAACTGAATGTGTTATTGTTGAAATCAAGGACAAAACTATGAGCTATACATACTGTAGCTGTTGAATTGCCCAGTAATTGAAATAATTCAATTTTCTGAATTTCAAGCATTAAAAAAGTCCAGCCGTGCCATCAGTCACACAGAAACAGAGTCTGAAGATCTCTGGTGCCTACTCTCTTTTTTTCCTACACCTGTTCAAGGTACAACGTGTAAACCTGACAGACTTAAAGCTGTTGCAAGATGTATTGTTTTCAGTTTTGATGAAGCTAGGTTAGCAAGTTAATATTCCCCTGCCTCCGGTCTTTGATCTTAGCTAAGCAAAAACCATCCTCGACCAGGCACAGAGGACCTCGCCACGTGTCAGAGTGACAATGGCATTATTGTGTTTTTGCCTTTAGTGGAGGTTATCTGTCAGCACAATATACAGCAAAACTGTCTGTAAGGCTAACACTTTTTGAGATAAAGCCATAAATTGTGTTAGCTTATAGGTCTAACTAGCTCAGAGTTAGCTTCTAGGCTCTGGGCACAAACCTGGCTTTAGTCAATAAAACTGAATATGAAAAAATAATAATAAATAAAAATAAAGGGTTCTGTGGGGGTACCTCTGTAGCCCATAGTTTAGGTGCCAACCACAGTTCGACTCCTGTCACATCCCCCTCTGTCTGACTGTTTTCTTGTTTATCTCTGACTGTCAAATAAAGGCAAAAATGCCTGTTTTATTCACTCACTCATTCATTCATGTACACACACCTTTTTTACAGTGCTCTTTATAGTGCCCGGTCAAGACAGCAGCATATTTAAAATCACACCAGGATGAAACACTACACAAGATAATATGTAAAACCTACAGATTTAGGAACACAGAGACAGTGGGGGGAAACAAAACAATTAGTTAGAAACAGGAGCAAGCTGAAAATGACTAATTCATCCAACCAGTGTGTCCACAGTATAGTCAGTGTTACCAGTGTCATTAGCTTAAGTTCCTTTTGGAAGCTATTCCACACGGCATGTACAGTAAAAGCCTTCTTTCCCATCTCTGACTGAATGTTTGGGAGAAACAGCAAATACAAGCCTAAAATGGGGTTTTGTAGCAAAGATATGTTTATGTTCCTCAAGGTTAGAAATATAAATAGAATCATTTTCATATTGGTCCCAGAGCTTAGGTTCTGTCTCTTATTTCCATTAGTATCACAAAATATTAACCAATATCCAGCTCAAACGATAATTTGAACTTTGATATGTGAAAATTGGGCCGTATAAAAGAGAAAACAGAATCATAAATGCAGCTGCCAGCGAGTGGTGTATGTTATCAGAGGAGAAGCAGATGAGAGCCGCTCCATCAGAAAGCAGTATAAGTACGAGGCTGTTCAGTGTGTATCTGCACACTGACATTTTACAACACACAGGAGAGTACACATCACATGAACGCTCCCCTGCTTTCTTCCAGCTCCACCCTCCATCCATCGTCACTCGTGTCATTTCCTATTAACCTATATCATCAAATACCAGCCCCGAAAATCAAAGAACCCCTAATGAAATAACAGTCAAAGCCTGCAGAGGTAATCTCATCCACGTCAGCATGTGCACGAATGTAAACTATGAAGGTCTGAACTGGACCAAAACTACCCACCCAATCTCGGCAAGGCTGTGGCAGATATTTTAAAAAGATCCTGTGGTATGTTGCAGACTTATTATAAAGATAGCATAAGAAATAAAGTGATTTATTATAGAGTTATGCTAAAAACACCACAGAGAAATAAAGGAAACACAATAGGTCTTATTAGAATGCTGTTAATACTGAGTTATACTGAATACAAAAAGACATTAAGCTCCTAAAGTGGTTCATTTTACATTTATTTGTGTAGGTGTTATAGGTATACACTTTGTAGAATAACTAATAAATCTTCACTATTAGAAATAAACTCAGTCAAACCCCTTATAGGCTATATATTCTGACTATATGTATTTATACACGTTTTGCTTGTCTCTGGTCTCTGATCTGTTTCTTGTCCTGCTCTAATGCTAAATTTCACTCCTGGAGTCATTTTTTAAAAACTATTGTACAGATACTTTATGAAAAACATTGTCAACATGAGTCAGGTACTTTATATGATTGTTATGGAATAATTATAGCATATTTATTTGATATTAAAAAACAACAACTAATTAAGAATTTTTTTATGAATGTATGATACACAGTAAATTTCAGGTTGTCTATTAAATTAAATGTTCATTTTATTATTATATTTTTATAACATTTAAATTTTATATGTTGTCATTTCACACATATGTTTGGTAAAAAAAAATGTAACGCATCATGCACATTAAAGGAATCCATTTCAGTTTCAGTTTATTAGACTTCACCAGCATATTCCACTGAGTAACAGTACTGCCAGGGAGGCCTGGAAATATATATCAAATATCACAAATATATCCATATAAAAAACGGTTTGCGCTGAAGGTTTTATTGCTGGAACTGTTGCACACATTACAGGAACTGATTGCTGCATGATGTATAACTGCAGTAATACACTGACAAATGAAAACCATTTATTCAAGAGGAAACGACAAAAGAGCCACGTTTCTCTATATATTGCCAGGTTGGTGGTAGTATACTGCTTAGGTAATTTGATTGTTGTGTTTGTTTGTTTTTAATCCAAAAACGTAGGAGAATTGTCTCAGTTATGCAGTTTTGAGCCCCACGGAGTATTAAGAGTTTTGCACAGTGAAACTCTGTTGCCAAAGCAATTGTAAAATACTGAAGTAATTATCGTACTAAGTGCATGAATCAATAAAATGTAATGAAGCAACGTTAAGGTACTGACAGCGAGGCAAGGTCACACTGCTGTTTGTTTAAAACTGAATACGAATTGTGATGCCCACAAAACTCATGATGGTCCCAATGATCCCAAAGCACTTGTCTGAGAGTAAATCCATCTACTACAGGGGTGCCACTCAGTGTGTTACAGCTGAAATATGACCCCACCTCATACAACATATAAAAGTTTTGCAGTTCAGTAAATATTCTGTTGGGGCTGGGGACATTTTTCTGCTTTTTTCAAATAACCAATTTAAAAACTCAATGAATTTGTTACTAAAAGCTGAAACTGGGGTCCTGTAATGTTAATGCAATGAGGTTGTGCAACACATCCTAAACTGTTTTATAGTTGTTTTATTTTGTGCTACCTGACTCCTCTTCTTCCCTTCTTTATCAGACACATGCCCCCATGCCTTTATTTACTATTTCTAATTTAGCTTTTCTCTGAATGATCTGGTTTTTAAATATTTCTTCATGTATCTATTATTATGAATGTAAAAATGCTTGTTTTTCTTTAACGCGTGAACTCAAACTGTCTTCACTGGCCTACCAAAAATAAAAACACCTCTGTAAAATATTACACAAATTAGAAAATCTTACCATAAAGAAACTAAACGGCAACAGCAACATTAAACTCTATGTTACACTACTCTTGCGAATCTGGGAATAATCCAATCTCAGTCCGATCTTTAAAAGCCATGTGATCTTTTTTATTTTTCTCCATGGTGCTGCTGCTGTCCCCTGCAGACAATAGAGGCTTGTTGTTGGGACACAAAGCAGGTTCCTCACTAGAGGGGGCACCAGATCCACAAACCTTCAGGTTTATGTCACAGCCTTCTGTTCACTTCAAGCTTCTCACAACCAGACACAATTCCTCCTCTCTGTCCTAATGATTTCTCACACCTTTCTCTGCTAATGCCACAGGAAGACAAATAAGCCTTTAACAGGGTAATGACAGTAATGACACCAGCTGAATATATAATTCCTCAAAGCTGAGACTAGTTCACCCCTTGACAAAGCCTAAACCAGCAAACAAAAATAATAATAAATTATCCCCTAAATTTGTTGTGAAAGTAAAGCACTGCGTTTCCTGTTCTTCTTCTCCCTTTCCTTTGGTTTTCTAACAGCTTCTTTTATTTTTAAGCATACCTGATCTTTTTTGGGTTAAATACACAATTTGTATTTAGTAAGGGTGCAGTGTTTTCTAACATACATGAAAATAAAGCGTGTGCACACTGCAGAGAGGGGGACTGTTGGAGGGAAATCCCGTGACCTTGTCATTTCCTATCGATCTCTTGTTGTTACTGATCAATAATGGTAATCATAACGCCTGTGATTCCAAATAAATTTCATTCGTCTAAATTGGAGTGCTGTGCTGGAGAGGAGACACGAGGAAACACCAAGGCAAAGTCAGCAAAGGCTGAAAAATCAGAACAACAAAAGGGATGACGGGGAAATCACTTTGGATTTTATATGGGAAGTTGCCTATTTAAACTTTAAGCAAACCACAACACCAGCGTGGCTCCGCACTTTGTCTCTTCTTCTCTTACCTGCTAGTCTGAGGGCCGACATCCTCTGAAACTCGGGCTCCTGCAGCCACTTCCACATCCTCCTGAACGTCTCCCGGCCTGACTTTAGCTTACTCCAGGGTTTGGGGTTCCTCAGCAGGTCCGACAGGGTCCCCTGGGATCGGCACAGCACCCTCTGGGCGAAGATGGCCTGGGGGATGCTGTACCTCTTCAGCTCCGCCGTGATCCTCTGCGCTACCTCTTTGGTGTTGATTTCCTCCAGCTGTCCTGAACTGTTACCCCCCTGCGTACCCGAGGAGGAGGGCGGTCTTTCCCGGGTAGAAGCCAACACTGGCCCGTGGGATGGAGACTGGAGGTGTGTGGGGGGGTGGTGACCCGCCGAAGAGGCACCCGGGTGCCCCGGATGGTGCATTCCGTTCAAGTGCGGCATCATCCCTGCCCCTGGACCGCCGAGGCCTCGGTGCTGGTGGTGATCCCCTCTGGCCAGCATGGAGGCGGTGTGGTGCGCGTCGAAGTTCAGCATCTTGTCGTGGCCTCCGTGCGTCGTCGTGCCATAATTGTGGAGACCCTGCTGAGTGTTGTGTATGGAGCCCAGGCCATTGCCCAGCACCGGGGACAGGCTCTGACCCATCCCGGACATGTGGTCCTTGTGGTAGGGGCTGTAAAGGTTGTTCATGCCCGGTAGCCCCCGCTCGTCCCGCATCAGGGTGAAGCTCCCGCTTACGTTCCCGGAGAGCCGCTGGTGGTGGTGGTGGTGATGATGATGGTGGTGAAACTTGTCTGACACGGTGGAGATGGGGGGCAGCGGCTGCAACGGGGTTAAGGTGGTGTAGGTGCCGCTCATCCCCATCCCAGGAGAGGACGTGTCGCAGGGCACGCTCATGGCGGGGT